GTCTATGAACCAGGAAGCAGGCCTTCACCAGACATCACATTTGCTGACGCCTTGATCTTGGACTTCCCAGCCTCCAGAACTGTGAGAAATAGTTGTTTAAGCCACTCAGTCAACGGTATTTTGTTATGGAAGCCCAAATACTACAGGCACATATGTAGTAGGCCCTAAATAAAGCCTGTTGATTTGATGTGACTCAAACTACTATGCCATTTCAAGATCTATACTGTTTCTTGGCAATCCTTCGGTAGAGATGACAAAGCTTCGTTGGATCATCTTAGTCCATTCTAGATTTCCTTGGATACATTAAACTAGACTAAATCACTCTGATCTATAATCAAATGCACAGATTATTAATTGAAACTGGTTCTAGAAATTATGGAGAAAAGTGGGATTTAGCTGATACAGTCTCTACTAAGATGGAGACTAGAATCTAACATCAATTTATTAAATTATCAGAAAAATATAGATTTCAGAATAAACTGGTAACAACCACAATTTACTATGTGCCAGGCAATATGCTAAGTAGTGTATGGAGATTATTTCAGTTCATCTTCACAACTACCATTTGAGGTGAGTATCATTTTCTCATTTTACAGATGAAGAAGTAGACTCACAAATGTTAAATAATTTACCTAAGGTCACATAGGTAATGAGTGCAGACTGGAGCAGCTGATGTCAAGCTGAGTACCTCAAGCTTTAACTGATGGCCTGTTTATCTCTCAGAGATTATTGTGGTTAATCCCCATCCTGCCTGCCTCAGACATCATTAGCATCTAAGACATTATGGCCATCCATCACACCTCATATGGTTCTGAACATCCACCCATCTGGCCCCAGGGGTGGCCCAGCAAGGTCTGGAATCACAGTCCCTGGGCTGCCACTAGGGTGATGAGAAGCAGCAGCCTTATCTGTTTTCTCTAATTTGCCAGACATGCTCATTTTCTAAGTAGACTGTGATATAGGAAAAGTTGGGAAGCTCTACTTGAATCTAGTCTAATCTTGAATCTAATCTACTTGAATCTAGTCTTCCTCCTTCCCCTCCTTCTCAAAATCCTCTGGACATCCCAATCTATGATCAGCAAATTCATCTGTCCTGGGAAAGTTGCTGAATTAAAACCTGGCACCCCCTGAAAACACTGCTTCCCTACAGCCCTGAAGACACTATAAAATGAACTAGCCTGAGAAGGATTGCAGCAAAGATGTGCTCTCTCAGAGTGTGGCTTTTCCACGGTTTTCCTCAGGAACACCCCTGCTGTTTTGGATCAATCTCAGGTTCTGAGTCAAGCAGCACTTGTTCACGTCCTGTTAGTAAAACCTAGTATATGGCCACTTCTAACAGCCAGAGATGTGTTCGTGGAGCTGAGAAGTAAAAAGCCTCATATGGAGTAACCCAGACACCATCACGATTCCCACAGCTGTGGCTTTGTTGTCCCACCCCATCCACACTAGCCTTAGTTGTTGTATTAATCATGTTTTTTATTTTCTGTATTTTATGATGCTTTGACATCTTGGGGCCTTGTAGACTGGGATGGAAATGCCCCTCTCAGGGTTAGCTAATTCCTAGAGATAGCAAACAACTTACCTTCAAGCATACCTTTCATATGCAAACCAACCAATCCAAAACCAGTAGCCCCCAACCACCTCCTTTATCTAACTCTCACACAACAAGCCAATATTCCCTCTGCCTTACATCATCACCCTAGGGCCAGGTACCAGACAGCTGGGGACTACCCTATAGCCTGGAGCCCCACTGAAATTATCCAAACTAGCCAATCCTAAACTGCTTACCTTACCTCACCCATCACTTCCTGCAGAAACCACAATAAAGGCTCTGGGCCATGCTCTCCCCTCACTCCTTCTGCCTCCTGACCAACACTGTTACTTCTCCATATGGCCCTGCATGGCGTGGCGTGACCCTTTCTTTTGGGAACTGTGCATAATGAAACTTTCAATGACATTGAACTCCGGTGTTATCACTCAGTCACCTCTATAAATTAAATCCTGGGTATAATCAAAACAGTTGTCACTTCTATTATAGTGGGTAACATACTCTCTGATATTACGTATACAGTAGATACTTTCATCTCTAGAGTTTAATCTCCCTGAGAGCAGGAACTGTATTTTACTAAGCTCTTAGCATGCTTTTGAGGGCACGCACACACACACACAGAGTCAGCGTTTATTCAACTGAAATGTCTGTTGAACTGTGGCCAATTCCTGCTCCTTGGCAAAGTCATTTCCCTGAGATTGTGCTTCTCCCATAGCAACAATACACAGTAAAGTATGTTGGAAAGTGGTTCTTATTTTCCACAGGGAAGAAATAAAAAGCCAGCCCCACAAATACAAGGCATCACCTGTACTGTCAGGTCTCAGCAAGGAGTCCAGGCCTGGGCCACTACTGGAAGCACTTACATGAAGACAAAAGCAGAAAACTAGTGACAACGAGGGCTGTTCAGACACTCAGTGCTGTGGCTCAGGACTCTGCCTCAGTGGCACAGGGGACAAACCATGACTGTATTCACTGGAGAATAAATGGAAATTATTTTGAGCATCTAATTGGATTGAGAGTGGGGGGAGAGACTGTTTTCCAGTAACATGTACAGTATCTTAAGTACATACTCCACTCCCAGGATTTGCTCCATTGTGTTAAAAAATATCCTTGTAAATTCTCGGATTTTAACAAAAATGCCCTCTATCCCTTCGGATTTCTTGCTGAATAATTCATGCTATGCAAATAAGGGTAACTAGAAATCTTCTTTGAGATAAATAGGTATAGTCATTGGCTTTTAGGATGGTCATCTGGTGTTTGCAAAAAGACATGGATTTGCAGTCTGAGGACCAGTGTTCAAGCATGGGCTCTGTCACTAATCACCTATACGACCCTGATAATACCTTTACCTGTCTCTGTTTCTTTTTTTTTTTTTTTTTGGTGAGGAAGATTACCCCTGAGCTAACATCTGTTGCCAATCCTCCTCTTTTTGCTGAGGAGGATTGGCTCTGGGCTAACATCCGTGCCCATCTTCCTCTACTATATGTGGGACGCCTGCCACAGCATAGCTTGATAAGCAGTGCATAGGTCCGCACCCGGGATCCGAACCTGCAAATCCCGGGCTGCCGAAGTGGAGCGCACGAACCCTACCACTTTGCCACCTGGCCGGACCTCTGTCTGTTTCTTTATTGTTAAATATGAAAGAATCCCTCATAGGAGAACTACCTTGAGAAATAAATGTTACAATGTCTGTTAAAGGTGCTTCATAAACTGTAAAGCACTACATAAACATTAGTCATCTATTGCATTGGAAGCTCCAGAGCCTGGCATAAGGCCTGACACAGAGCTGGTCCTCAATATTTGTAGTATAAGCTACTAAATCCCACTGATGAGCCCTGTGATCTCAGGCAAGAAAAATCTCTGTCTCCATCTCTCTTTGGCCTTCTCTGATACCATTTTCTCCCATGTTTACTGGGTTTCAGCCATACTGTTCTTTTTCCTGTTCCTCCAACACAGCAAGCTCACTTCTGCCTCAGGGTTTTTGCACCTGCTGTTTCCTCTGCCTGGAACATTCTTCCCCAGCTCTTTGCATGGACATCCCCTTCTCATCAATCGGGGCTTAGGTCATATGTCTTTTCTTCAGAGGCTTTCTCTGACCACCCTACTGTTCCTTGCAAATCATTCATACAATATGTATTCCTGTTTTATTTTCTCCTTAGTACTTACTACTATCTATTGGCTTGTTTCTTACACTCTCCTCCACCAGAATAAAAACACTCTACTAGAGCTTCCCTGTTGGTCTTATTCATCACTGTATTCCAATGCCCAAATGACATCTAGCTCATAGTAAACTCTCAATAAACACTTGAATTAATGAGATTGAAATAAAATAATTATATTAAAAGCCTCATTTTATATATTACATATTTTGTATGTACCTATGAGGGTCCAGGCTCTACTTCAAGGTCCTGGGGATTCACCTGAGAACAAAATAGACAAAAATCCCTGCTTTCTTGGGACTTGCCTTCTAGTGGGGAGACAAACAATAAGCAAGATAAAAAGTAAAATATATGTCTGACAATGATAAGTGTTAAGGAGGAAAAAAAATAAAGTAGGAAAGGAGAACATGAAGTGTGTGTGGAGGGGTAAAATTTTAGATAGGGTAGCCAGAGAAGGAAATGAGAGACAGAGCCATGAGAATACTATATGGAGGAAATGCATTCCAGGAGGTCAGGGTAACTAGGACAGGAATGAAGGGGTTGGAGGCTAACACAATAGGAGATGAGGTCAGGGAGGTTAAGGGAAGTCAGATTGTGTAGGACCCTGTTGGCTAAACTAAGGACTTCGGCTTGTAGAACAGTGAGACAGTAAGGTGGGAGAATCTGAGCACCGGGGCGTCATGATACGGCTTGTCACAATAGGATTGCTGGGGCTGCTGTGCTGAGAATACCTGATGGGCAAGGGAAGGGACCAGCGAGGACTCTACTACAATAATCTTGGCAAGAGACAGTGGCTGGGGGAGAAGTAGTTACGTTGGAGAGAAGTTGAGGGGCAGGTCTGGGCTGGGGATTAGCACCTGGAACTCAAATGTTATTTATGATTAGCAGTAACAGAATCATAGAGATGGAGTCTCTGCTCTACCACTTACTAGTAGCAAACTCTTGAGTAAACCATTTCTAGGTTCTGGGCCTCAGTTTCCCTACCAGTGAAGTGGAGAAAATATTCCCACATAACAGGGCCTTCATGAGGGCAAAATGAGAAGTGTCAACGGCTGACTGTGAGAACTCTGTGCCAAAGAACGCACGAGCCGGTCCCGGAAGGAAGGGTCGGCTGTGGAACCACCGACTGACTTGCAAAACCACAACACACGCTCGGAGGTCCCCACAGCAGCGACGGAAAACAAACTCCCAGCCCGGCGCCGCAACGCGGTCTGAGAAGCCCAAACCTCGCGAGATTTGTTGGCTACGCTAAGTCCCTCTCCCACTCACATCTCGCGAGACCCAGACTCAAGAGTGGCCATCGGCCGGTTAGGGCTTGCGGGGAAGATGGAGTATCCCGCGTTGGGCACTGCGGAGGCTGCGGACAGCGGAGGGGCCCGGCTGTACAACAGCTCGGAGGAGCGGGAGGGCCGGGAACCGGACGGGCTGCGCTTCGACCGTGAGAGGGCGCGTCGCCTGTGGGAAGCAGTGTCCGGGGCTCAACCAGTGGGGAGAGAGGAAGGTGAGTCCGGGGGCCTCAGAGGCAGGAAGCCCCCTCGCCTGCCTGCCCGTTTCGCCCGGAGTGGGGGAGGCGCGGGGCGGGAACGCGGGCCAGCCGCCGGGCCTCGGGTCACACCCCCTGGCGCCCGGCCCGCCCCTTTGCGTGACGCGCCCCGGGACTCCCTGACTCGTGCAGCCTGTCAGGGCCTGGGCACCGTGGCCAGCTCCCCTGAAAATCGGGGCCGCGGGACCCCAAGATTCAGGCCTCCTCGCGCAGTGGGTCCAGGGCCTTCTCACGCTCAGGCCGCCTTCCTCACCCCCCGGAGAGCAGCTCTTCCTAAACGCGAGGACTGTCATCCCTGTCCACGCCTTCTCGGAGACCCACAGTGCCTTCCCCGCCAGACTTTCCCGGACTCGCCATCGTCCCAGTCTCCAGGTCCTCCCCACCGCTACTGCCTCTTGCCTCCCTTCTCTTATGCCCCACACATCCGAAGGGTCTGGAAAGCCTTCTCCTTACTCCCATGTTCCTCCTGGCCTAGGTGACTGAGCCCTGGTTCATCCCTGTTTCTAGGTGTCTGGTCTCTATTAGCTGGATCCCTTTTCTGAGATGGGGGTCAGGAACCTGAGAAACTGGCCAGGGTACTTGGGCTCCAGCTTCTTTGTATCCCACCCTTGACCCAAAGTTGTGGAGAACAGGATACACAAGGCTACCCTGGGGCGGGGCGGGGGTGGGGGGACACTTCTGGGCTGAAGCTTCCCAACTTGGTCCGCATTTGACCTGGCACTGGCTAAGATGGAGATCGAAAGAGGAGGATGGAAAGAGCTGGCCCGACTTGGTTGTGTGACCCCCTTCACAGTCCTTAGCAGAGCTAGCTGTTTAACTCCAACCCAGGAGTACACAAACTGTCTGGGCTTCTGTGCTAATCCTGTCAGGTAATCTGCAGGGAAATCAGATTTCTCTAAGGTTTATTTCCTTGCTGAACAGACTAATCTTGAAAAGTTTAATATGTTGCTTATGAATTCATTGCCCTGGGATAATATTGAATCTTTAACCACATCCAAGGAAGATATGTTTAAATTTTGGGTGGTACGCAGACCTATACCGTGGTATAGGTAAACTTCTCCAGTTTAAAAACTAGTCTAATCTGACTCCTAAATTAATGTGGGGCCCTGTGTCCCTCATACTTTCAAACTTGTTTGGTACAAAGTTCCCTCCTGCTCTCACAATTTTCCTTTCATTAATTTAACGTTCACTGATGCCTGCTCTCTTCCCAGGACTGGCTGGGCATCAGAGCCATGGAGATGAGGAAGATACTGTCCTTGCCCTGGAGGGGCATGTAGTCTAGTCCAGCAAGCAGGCACTAAAACAGTTTCAGTATAATGTAGTGGGTGCGGTGAAGAGGAATGTCTGAGAGTTGGGGGTGCACAAAGAGGAAGTGACTTTTGTCCTTAGGGGACAGGGAAAGCATGCTCTGGACCTTGAAGTAGGGAACACAGCAGCTATGCTCTGAAGAGTGAATTGTTTATGTGTGTATGAATGTACAGTGTCACTTGCCACCCAGTTCATTTCCCTACCCTCCTCACTTCTCCAATGTTTATATGAGGTTTAGGTAGATACCTCTAACACCCAAGTTCTACTCATCTTGGTTTTTTTGTGTGTGTGTGAGGAAGATCAGCCCAGAGCTAACATCTGCCAATCCTCCTCTTTTTGCTGAGGAAGACTGGCCCTGGGCTAACATCCGTGCCCATCTTCCTCCACTTTATATGGGACGCCACCACAGCATGGCCTGACAAGCGGTGCGTCGGTGTGCGCCCGGGATCCGAACTGGTGAACCCTGGGCCGCCGCACTTAACCGCTTGCGCCACCAGGCGGGCCCCCTCATCTTGGTTTTTTTTTTTTCCTCTAAGCACTTTCATTGAGTTAAAATTTACGTACCATAAAATTCACCCATGGTAACTGTACAATTCAATGATTTTTAGTAAAAGTGCAGAGTTGTGTAGCCACAATCCAGTTTTAGAATATTTTCATCATGGGGGCCAGCCCCGTGGAGTAGCAGTTAAGTGCGCGCGCTCCGCTGCTGGCGGCCTGGGTTTGGATCTCAGGCGCGCACTGAGGCGCCACTTGTCAGGGCATGCTGTGGCGGCGTCCCTTATAAAGTGGAGGAAGATAGGCGTAGATGTTAGCCCAGGGCCAGTCTTCTTCAGCAAAAAGAGGAGGATTAGCATGGGTGTTAGCTCAGGGCTGATCTTCCTCACACACGCAAGAAAAAGAATATTTCCATCACTTTAGTTAGTTCCTTTATACTCCTTTACATTAAATCCCCACTCCTACCTTCTGCCCTAGGCAACCACTGATCTGTTTTCTGTCTCTATAAATTTACTTTTCCTGGACATTTTCATATAAACAGAATCATTCAGCATGTAGTCTTTTGCATTTGACTTCTCTGACTCAGCATGTTTTTGAAGTTCAGCCAAGTTGAAGTGTGTATTAGTGTAATGTAGTGTGTAGTGTGTATTCCATTGTATGCACCTTGGTTTTTTATCCCCTGACAGTCTCTGTCTTTTGAGTGGCTCTTTATACTATTCACACTTTAATTATTGACATGGCTAATTTGCATTTTCCATTTTGCTATTTATCTCCTTTCTGTTTTGTTCTTCTCATCCTCCTTTATTGGCTTCTTTTGTGTTAAGTATTTTTTAGTGTACCATTTTAGTTCCTCTGTTGACTTTTTTTTTTTTTTACTTTTTTTAAGTTATTTTCTTAGTGGTGCTCCAGGGACTACAAGATGCATCTTAACTCATCACAGTCTACTTCAAATTAATAATAACTTAATTCTGGTAAAATATAAAAACATTCCTCTACTATAGCTCCTTTCCTCCCCCTGCTTTGTGCTATTATTGTCTTATATATTACATCAGTATATGTTATAAAGCTAAGTATACACTGTCATAATTATTGCTTTATACAATATTGTGTGTTTTAAAGAAACTAAGAGAAGAAATTAGAAAAAAATATTTATAGCACCTTTTATATTAACTCACATATTTACCATTTCTGGTATTCTTTATTTCTTCCTCTGGATTCAGGTTACCATTTAGTGTCACCTCTTTTCACCCTAAAGGGCTTCCTTTAGTATTTCTTGGAAAGCAGACCTGCTAGCAGTGAATTCTCTCAGTCTTTACCTGGGAATATGTTTATTTTGCTTTCATTCTTAAAAGATATATTTTTTAATAACAGCTTTATTGAACCATAATTCATATACCATAAAATTCACTGTTTTATTTTTTTATTTATTTATTTTTTTTGTGAGGAAGATCAGCCGTGAGCTAACATCCGTGCTAATCCTCCTCTTTTTGCTGAGGAAGACCAGCTCTGAGCTAACATCCATTGCCTAATCCTCCTCCTTTTTTTCCCCCAAAACCCCCCAGTAGATAGTTGTATGTCATAGTTGCACATCCTTCTAGTTGCTGTATGTGGGACAGGGCCTCAGCATGGCCGGAGAAGCGGTGCGTCGGTGCGCGCCCGGCATCCGAACCCCGGGCCGCCAGTAGCGGAGTGCGTGCACTTAACCGCCAAGCCACGGGGCCAGCCCAAAATTCACCGTTTTAAAGTGTAAAATTTGTTGGTTTTTAGTATTTTCACAAAGTTGTGCAGCCATTACCACTGTCTAATTTCAGAACATTTTCATCACGCCAGAAAGAAACCCTTTACTCATTAGCAGTCATCCCTGGCAACTGCTTATCTCCTTACTGTTTCTATTCTTGACATCTTATATAAATGGAATTGTATAATATGTGGCCTTTGTGACTGTCTTGTGTCACTTAGCATAATGTTTGAAGGATAGTTTTGCTGGACCTAGAGTTCTTGGTTGACAATTTTCTTCTTTCTCACTACTTTGAATATGTCATTCCACTGCCTTCCAGCCTTCATTGTTTCAGATGAGAAGTTAATTGAATTATTCCACTATACCTGATGAGTCATTTTTCTCTTGCTGCTTTCAAGATTTTCTGTCTTTATCTTTCAATAGTTTTTCTTTCGATAGACGTGTGTAGGTGTAGATCTTTTGGTATTTATCCTACTTTGAGGGGCTTCAGATTTTTGGATGTGTAGACTGATGTTTTTCTTTGATCAAATATGGGGAGTTTTCAGACATTTTTTCAACTATTTTTTTCTGCTTCTTTGTTTCTCTTCTCTCCTTCTGAGATTCCCCTTACATATATGTTGGTATGCTGGATGTGTCCTACAGGTCCCTGAGGCTCTGTTCATTATTCTTCAATTTTCTTTCTCTCTGTTCTTCAGATTGAATATTTCTGTTGATCTATCTTCAAGTTCACTGATTCTTTCTTCTGCCATTTTGAAGCTGCTGTTGAGTTCTCTAGTGAATTTTTCATTACTTTTATTGTACTTTCAGCTTAACTCTGTTTTATACATATTCTAAGTAGGAAACTTTTTAGCACCACATCGTCAGTGCCCTTACATTTGCTTTCTTCATGCCTTTTTTGTTTGATAAAAATTTGAGCTTCTTGAGACCATCAACAATATGGATTCACAAAATAGAAGTACTAAGGCTAAGTGATCTTAATGGGACTAACTATCCAGTTCATTCTTGTAGACCACCCTGCCTGTTAGACTACACTGCTTAACGAGTCTGACCCACAGGTAGATTATATCCAGCCTCCTTTTCCTAGGATCTTTTGTTGTTCACTGCTTTCTAACTATAACTGTATCTAGAAACCCACTACCTCCTAATACGCCATAATAAGCAGGGAAGTAAATAAGTTTCATCTCTCTAAGGACCAACTCTAGTCAATTGATGAATTTCTGTAGAGCTGAGTTAAAGATACTAAGGCCCAAGGAATAGCAAATCATTCTAGATTAGCAATGTTCACCATTATCTGTAATATAGGAGGTGGTTTAGTCATGTAGTGACCAGCCATTCTGGCCCTAAGTTATCCTAAGGCAACTTAAAGCACCTAAAGTCACCCAAAGACAATTGCAATTTCGATTGAAATGTCATGATC